CTCTCTCTCTCTCTCTCTCTCTCTCTCTCTCTCTCTCTCTCTCTCTCTCTCGCTCTCGTTCTCGCTCTCTCTCTCTCTCTCTCTCTCTCTCTCTCACGATTGTCATTTCGCCGGAAACATCTTATCTACAGATTCGTTGAATTTACCTGTGAAAATGTCTGTTGCAGCATGTAAAATGTGGTTCCTGTAGACTCGCACAGTTTAGTGGTACCTGCGGGAGTGTTAATACTTGCGCGGGCTAATGCCGCGGATGCTGTGTACGCATGGGAGCGCACATATTGCATTCTTGCCTACGGCACTCATCTCGTAGTCAACAATCTATATTCGAATTTATTTCGTTCTTTCACGCGACGCGACTGATATGCCCCTGGGCGTGATGATCGTTATTTACGATGCAAGTTGCGATCGCACGCAACGCCGTGCGTGCACGCAATTAGTGAAAATTGAAGACAGCACTGTTCAAACGATATTTATTTTTGGTTACACGTCACCTTTTTAGTGCTATATACGTATTTCGTTTATTTTAATACCTATTATAAGTCTATATATTATAGTCTATAGAAGTCTATGAATCCTAGAGAAAAGCATCCCTTTGATCATAATCCTGAGTATTAGCGTTGCCTATCGCGGTGGCTATTATACAGGGATGTCCCGTTCCAGGAAGACGTGCATCAAATATACACTATGCTCATAATCAGGAGCGAGTAAACTCCCGATATAATGTTGCAAACTGTTCGTTGAATATCTTATACTGAACGACTGACCTTATTGGCATGCGGCTTGATTCTGAATACATATTACGCGCAGGACAACATACCTGATGCAGTGATAACCAAGGTGCAGCCGTACGTCGACATGGAGACATTCACGCCAGCTGCCATTGCCAAGGTGTCAAAGGCATGCACGTCGATCTGTCTGTGGGCACTAGCCATGCACAAGTACCATTTTGTCGCCAAGGGTGTGGCGCCGAAAAGGGTGAGATTCTGATATGTGATACGTGTCTATACTTGTCACTCTCATATTGCTATCCCATGTTGTCTGTGAGGTAGTGCAGCTTTTAGTCAAAACTATGCTGCCGCCGGCGTTCCAGTATTGGTTTTTATAATCTTTTCACGTAATTAGCACAATAGAAAGCAATTGTTCTGATAGCAGCGCAGTGCACATGCGTCACACTATTTCAATGCCGTCCGATGTTTCATATTTTTTTGTTTCAGTGCTGTCGTCATTTTTTCATATTTATTTTTGTAATTTTTGTAATACCTTTCTGTAATTGCAGATAAAATTGCGCTGAAATTATTAAAAAAATCTGCATTTCTTATTGTTTCCTTTTTGTCGCAATCATATTATTCGCTGCGTCCTTTCATCAGTCGCTATTGTATATGGACTAAAGAAATTGTTGCATTTATATGTAAATTTCTCTTGGATAAATCTGAATATCTTATCATACTTTTCACCATCTAGATTCATCGGTGTGCCTTTGTTAGGCATAATGCCACATAAGTGCAACTTTCTCGTCGATTTTCGCCAATATATGAACATATTGTTTGTCTGGGTTGCGCAATAACACTGTCAGCGAGCGATATCTGCAGCCGTGTTAATTGATTCAGAGTGTTCTCTTAGGCAGCCCTGGCTAAGGCCAGCGAGGAGTTGGAGATAACAAACGCCAAGCTGGCAGAGGCGCGCGGGCGGCTCGCTGAAGTTGAAGATAAACTCGCAAAGCTACAGGCCGGCTACGACGCCTCGGTCCATAAGAAGAAACAATTGGAAGATAACTGCAAGCTCTGCGAAGATAGATTGGTCCGAGCCGACAAGGTATATTAGCCGCAACACGCGCTGTTTCGTCGTGACGCTTTCGGCTTTGTTGTTACGTGATCTTTTCGTAGCTAGAAGCTATATAATAACAGAAGCCTTGGCAGCAGAATCTCGGAATACACAGTCTTGTGGATGTCGATTAATGTTATATTTAGTTCATAAAACAAAAGTTCAGTGCCTTAATGCTTTTATGAAAGATGGCTCGAATTTTTAGCTCAGCTGACGAAGTTCGTCCGGCCGTCTGTGCGTCAACAGTTACGGCAAAAATCTTATCCACGCGACGTACGATCTTGATATTCGGGACGTCGGGGGGGGGGTCGCGAAAAGGACTCAAGATGTCGAATTTGGGGGGTCAAGGGTCAAAGGTCAAGATGTGTCGATGGAGGGGGAATATTTCCTTCTTAACTTAAGGTATAGGAGGAAATACGGAATTGCGGCACAAATCTTCAATGGACCTCAACGGTACACTCTTTAATATATCGATGTATTAGTGTGGATGGGGAGGAAGACCGATCCCAGCGCGAATTGGAGGTCACAGGTCAAAGGGGCAGTCGGGGAAGTCAGATATCAGACATTTCTGAGGACATGGTCTAAACGGACGAGTGCAAAACTTTCTGATCTTTCATCGCTGCACCTAACATTATTTATCACTTTATTTGAATAGGGAGCCGTGAATCTACATTTCGCCTGACGAGGTGCGAGAGTTGGCCCTCGTGCTCGATTACGTCTTGACCCTTCAAAGAGGAGGGTTAAACAAGGGGATTTGTTGACTTGTGTAGAACACGAAGACTGTAAACTGCTTTTGCTATTAGAGCTCCTCCCACACCACCTGTCCCCCCCCCCCCCCCCCCGACACACCGACCACCATCTACGCTTCTCGCCCTCACGCATATCCATGATAACCGTAAGTATAGCCGGAAGTCATTAAAAGTTACACAGCTGTATCTTATTACATGTACATACCGGGATACCCCCTACTGCGGGAGGGCCGCACTGCATTCGGTTGCCCACAGGCAACTGATCGAGTTTATCAGGAGAATACACGGCTACAGTACACGTCAGTTTGAGCGTATTGTTCGCTCTGCGGCCTTGATTTCAGTGATTAATGAAGGCTAAATAATACAAAAGTGTATTGCCGATTTACACGTGCCACTGATAATAATATAATACACTGGCATCTATTTTGAGGTGTACGCGGTACCATCTCACTCTCTACGCCCTGAGATCCTCCACGGCAGCCATTCCAACTATATGTGATATGTATTACACAGAAATCTACGCGTGGGTTGGCAGATACCGTTCCCACTTGTAAAGGAGGATGCGAGTTTCTTCAGGACCATGTGCGTGTTTATATGTGGTCGAGTTTAGCGCGTACTGCAAGATGGTTAGCGGGATTAGATGCTGATCTCAACAGAGAGAAACACTCTGACGGTCACCTGAACAGTCTCGTACACGGGTAAGTCATTTAGATATTCCGAGTCGACTGTTAGCGAGCGATCGTGGAACAATTGCTGGCGGAATCCTTTACCGACTTAAAAGTATAATAAAAGTGCAACACAGGCCACGTATTTAACCTAGGGGACTTGAGTATCGACGTAATCAAATAATTATAAAACCGGTGAGTTGACTTCGAAAATTTCGCAGGTTTCTCATATAGAACAAAAGGAGATATGTGTGGAGCCCATGGACTGTGGACAGACCGAAAACGCGCGCTAATACAAGGCGTACTAGAATGATCGTGTAATATCATAGCAATGATGATGATGAACGGGACGCTTCAGATCATGTTATTTCGACTCACGTGACAATCCGTGCAACCTCATACTGCTATATGGTACTTTTTTCATTATTTTTTTTCATTTTGCGGCTGATTATTTTAAACAGCGGTTCACATACGACTTACCCACTGCAAAAAGGGTTGTTGATTGATATTCAACATGAGTGAATATAGAGTTCCTCACTTATATACATTATCCTCTATTATTCTACTCTTGGTTATTCATTCCTGATGTAAGTATTACTAAACATTCACTAAACTTAATAACACATTGTTGCTATTACAAATTAATAAACGTCAAATTTCGCGCCCATTTTCAACTATCGGTGACTCTTGTGTTTGTGTTGTGGTGCCTGCGTCGGTTGCGCTGCGCTCGTAGCTGATCGGAACTGGCCGATGAAGAAAGACAGGTGGGCGGTCACTGATCAAAGAGCTCGGACTTCCTTATCACCAACATTAGTGGCGAGACATCTCGCCTATCTGCCGGCTCCATAGGCCTACCTGGTCCGTCACGGTGCGTGTGACAGCAGTAATCATGATCGATGGATTTTTTTCTTGTGTGACTTTACCTTAGTTATTCTCATGCATTTCTTATAATATAACTGCATACCATATATTGGAGTACAGACTATAATATATTCGGCATGAATGCGTTTATCAAGGCTTCGTTGTCAAAGTACGTGAATATGCAATTGTTGTCAAGCCTATTAGAAAGCCATAGGATGGCTGTGTGATTGATAGATATGTGTGTGTGTTGGGTAGTGTGCGTGCGGTGCAGGCGTGCGTGCGGTAGCCGTTGCGATAGCGTGCGATGCGTGAAGATAAAGCGTGGCCCGGTGGAAGTATTAATCCTTAAACGGGTAGACCAGAAATGCACGTAATGAGATCTGTAGCATTATAGCACCCATTCCTCTGGCGAAATTAGAGCGCGACTGCTCCAACGATAATGACGCGTTACGGTCTATAATTTGGATTAGCCTATATTTTATTTAAACTTACTTAAGTTGTATGTTTTAAGGTAATCCATTAGTTATTGAAAATTTGACCTGCGGAGAATTTGTGCGATTAGCGCGTTACTGAGAGTGAAGTAATCTGATGGGCTTATCTGATAACTATACGGTGATCAACCACGTTCCTATGAATGCGTCGAGAATAAGAGAACGCCAAAAACTATACGAAAAAACAACCTATTTATGTCCGTGCTGAGTGTTAGAAAAGTGAAGTGTGCGATATAGCTTATCTATAAAATATAATTTTTTAATAATTTAAAGTGTTTACAAAATCTTTTGACGGACGGTACGACGTGAGCAGATCGTGTCATAGTCCCTCACTCGCGCGTTCTTGTCAGCCTGGCTGACAGGATAGGCCAGCGGATATATTCATCCTGCTGGATATCAAACCTTCTGTGGCGTGAGAGAATGCAACAGCGTACTGCAGTCAAGCGTAAAGGCGCTCCACAATCTGGCAGTCCAAGACACTCCAATTTGCTACAGACGAATTTCTACTCAAGGTTACCGCTCTCCCTCAACGGTGATGGGTGAGACAAGAGAGCGCCGCTCTGCTATTGCAATCGCTCACTAACGTCATAGTACGTAGATAACTTGTGAACGTATGTATTCGGGTTACGTCAAAGAATGCGCGTTAACTCAATAACGTGCAATCACGCCTCGTTTCACCAGTGACACAAGGGAAGCCGATGCACTCATTCCACTCCCCGCCTGCACGCAGAAGGGATTTATCGATGAATATGGACGGTTAAATTTCGTGGCGCTAATGCTATAATGGTGTGAATTATGGTGCGCGCACAAACTATTTAATACCGTCGGTCTTCGGATAAGATCGTACGTTTAGACATTCAGTTTTACACGTACGTGTGTAGCCTAGAGTCTAGACCGCGCGAGGGAGAGGCTCAATGCATGAATCGCTGAATCAACAGCTTATGTTACTAATTTCATGCGCGTGTGCAGACATATCCTTAATTGCTTACGACTATTAGGAATAGAGAGAAATGGCGGTAAAATTGCCATCTGTGATTCACAAAGGCGGGATGTTTTATGGAGAGTGGAGGCCATGATGGTAAGCGTGCGTCTTAGCAAGCGGGTGTGTGCTGTATGCTGATGAAAGCAGTTCAGACACTAGCAACGCTCTCGCATACGACACGCCACCGGTACATATATCCATAGCACATCAAGTTTATAATATGCGCCATGTCCTCGATATAGATAGCGCGTGCGACAATACTTGAGATGCTATGGTGTGAGGATACAGTTTCACAATGATTATATAACTTATGAGGTCACTCGCTCCAGCAAAGATAACTACGTTGACATTAATCACACGAGTATGATGGACGTTCTCATAGCAGCTCGGCTGCATCGTGACATCGAAGGCAAGTCTAATAGCACGTTGCAATCTGTCTTCTGACCACTAAACTCTCGTGCCTACGTTCAGCGATGGTCGTCCATTGCACGACGTTCTTAGCGTCAGACACTTGACGTTTAATTATCTGGACCAGATACAGTTGCCTCGCCAACAAGTGAGTCCGACCGTATGCTCAACTATCGCGTTCGGGTCTTGCTACTGGATGCTCGGAAATCTTCCTGCCCCGCTCGCCACATTTTAAATATCAGTTTACAGACTTCGTCTCTGCATTCGGACTTTACCCTGACAGTCTATAGGCGACGGCGACGTGGCAGCGATCAACCCCGCGATTTATTTAGCAGTTTACGTGAGAGAGATGTGGTGCAGCACCACATTGGTGAATCATGTTTATTCCACCATGAGCAATCGTCGCCAATAGTGAGTCGCGCGAACTCTTCAAGGGGTTTAAGCTTTCCAGTACACAGCCGCTTCTTATTGAGCAAAATTATTTGAAACCGGGGCCTAATACCAACATGCACTGTATTTCTGCGTAGCAATCTGTAGCCCATTGGATTCTTCTATGGCAGAGTCTGGAAAGATCTACTCACTAAGGTATATGATTTTCAGGCAAATGTAAGACAGGACACAGTTGCTCCCCATTGTCCATTTTTTTTCATTTCTACTGACATGTATTTGTGTGCTTCGACGGATAGGGCAGTCCGTGCGTCGGCGGGCATGGTTGAGGCCTGGATAATGGTAAGGGGCTTGTCCAGTTCAACATGGGGTCCAAAAGCAAATCAAAAGAGAGAGAGGTGGAAGAAAAGAAATGAGGGAGCGAAGGAGGAGAGAGAGAGAGAGAAGA